AAAAATAGAGAATAAACTTACAAATTAGAATAAGCTTAAAAGATACACCAACTAAGTATGAAGTGTAATACAGGTATGTGCGCATGCATACACATTTAGAAAGCAACTGAAAATCTGTATGCTGACTATATTGCTGATTATACTAACCAATCACTGTTATTTTGTTGCTGAATAGTGGTACTGAAGTTATGCTTTTAAAACTTTAATCTTTTACAAATAATCATGAAATACTTCTACAGACACAATATGACAGCAGAGATCTGCTTCAAAATAATACAAGGCGAAGGATGGGATGGGGATACAGACAATGTTGTGAATCACGAACTGCTGAAGTTGGGTGATGTACACAGAGGTTCGCCATATTCTTTCACATGTTGTGAAGTTTTGCACAGTAAGTTTTCCTTTTTCAAAAAAGGAGAACACAAGGCACTTAATTTTGAACAAGACTTCCACATGAAGAATCTTAAATCTTAAGTTTAAATTATTTGGTAAAAGCACAAGACTAGGACTCATTACTGAAGGTAGAATATTATCTTTATCCTAGAAGAACAATATTCTCTACACATCACACTCAAGAAATTACAATGTTAATTAGCGTTGAGATGCTTAAAATATTTACTGAACCAAATTATACAACTTTGTTCAACTGCCATAATGTACCAGGAATATTCTAGCTTTTTGTATGTATTAATTCCCTTCATCTACACAGCAACCGTAAGAGATAACAACTGTTATTATTTTCCCTATTTTACAAAGAAATTTGAGAACAATTAAGCCCATAGCAGGATTCAAACCTTGGCTGTTTCCAAAATTCTTAAAATACTATGTTATACTGCATTTATTAAATAAACTCATAATCTCTTAGTCTTGTTAAAATTTCACTCAAGTAAGAAACTAAAAATATGCAGAACAGAAACTTTAAAAGGACAGACCATGCACACGTACATAATACACAGATCAGATAAAAAAAATACATTCAGGCCTTAAAACGAAATAAAGAGGTATCCATAGGATAATAATTCCCTTTTATTATTTGTATAGTAACAAATGGCTCCTCCATATACTTGCCTTTTTTTTGTTCTTAATTTTGTACAATGAAACATACTTCAGAGTAAATCTACAGAATTTAGTGGGAAGATGGCAGACTGCAGAGCAGCAGAAAAAAATGGGCCTCTGAGATCTGGTGTCCAGATACTACAATATAACAATGTGAAGAAAACAAGGAAGGCAGTAGGTCCTGAGGACCCCAGAAGGATGTGAAGCAAGAACTGATGCCCACAGGGGAGAACAAGGAGAGACTTCAAGGGAGGAGGAGATGGCAAGTAGTGTTTTCTCCCTGAGCCTTGGCTCATTGCATGGAAGGAGTAGCTTAAACCTGCAAATGCACTGACTACTGGGGACCCCAGAGGCCTCCAGGGAGAAATGCACCAGTGGAATGGAGCAGTGGATGCAACGGGCTAGAGTGGCTGGTGAGTATTCAAGTTCATCGGGTTCAGATATCCTCCAGGAGAGGGTGATTTGCCATCTCGAAGAGGGGCCAACTGAACTCAGAACTCAGAACAACTGCAGGTTGGCTCCATCTAGCAGCTGCCAGTGTCAGGGTGAGGCTGCTGAGTTCAAATCAGCAAGAGACACATGGAATGTTGCAAGCTGAACTAACTGGGCTCCAGCCTCACAGTCAGAAGCCAGCCTGAACTTCAGTGGAATTAAAGGTGCAGGACTGCTGGGATTATCCACTATCCCGCCAGAAAGCTATGGCTGGCTTGGTGGGATTGATAACACAGATCTGGACTCTGTCTGCCTATTGCCTATAAATGACAGCACAGAGACACACCTTGAATTGGATAGTTTTTAAAAAAATATTTTCTACTTTCTTATTTTTTCTAGATTGTTTGTTCTTGTTGTTATTTCTTCCTTCTTGGTCCCTCCTATCTTCTTTACCAGTTTCCCAAAGTTTGTGTAGTCTTACTTTGTCTGCGAGCCTTGTTTCTCATCTCTTCTTCTTCTATTTCCCTATTTTTCCTACCTAACTGCTTTTAAATTTTCTCCTGATTAGATGTCGCTATAGAGCCGGGAGTGGTGGCGAATGCCTGTAATCCCAGCACTTGGGAGGCTGAGGCAGGAGGGTCGCTGCGAGTTCGAGACCAGCCTCGGCTACAAAGTGAGCTCAAGGCCAGCCTGAACTGCATAGTGAAACCCTGTCTCAAAAAGACAAAAATAAATAAATAAATAAATAGATGTTGTATATAACCACAAATCTAGTTCATACAGTTAAAGGTGGCAAACCAAGAGCCAACATTATACTAACTGGTCAAAAACTGAAAGCTTTCACTCTAAAATTAGAAACAGAACAAGAATGTCCACTGTCTCCACTGTTATTCAATATAGTTCTGAAAACATTAGCCAGAACAATTAGACAAGCAAAAGAAATAAATGGAATAAAGATAGGAAAGGAAAAAGTTAAATTATCATTATCTGCAGATGTCATAAGACTACATAAAAGACCTCAAAAACTCCACCAAAACACTTCTAGCGTTAATAACCAAATTCAGTAGCACAGCCAGATACAAAGTCAACACTCAAAAATCCATATCATTTCTGTACACAAATAACAAACTCACTGAGAGAAATTAGGGAAACAACACCTTTCACAATAGCATCCCCCAAAAATAAAATACCTAAGAATCAATCTAAAGAAGTAAAAGACCTTTACATTGAAAACTACAGTACTCTCAAAAAGGATATCAAAGAAAATATCAGAAAAATGGATAGGAAGAACCAATAAAGTGAAAATGGCCATATTCTCAAAATTGTTATTCAGATTTAATGTAATTCTGATCAAAATACCAATAGCGTATCTCACAGAATTAGAGAAAATAATCCTAAAGTTGAAAGCAGAACAGACTTAGAATAGCAAAAGCAATTCTGGGCAATAAAGGCAAGGCAGGAGGCATCACAATGCCTGACTTGAAATTATACTACTAAGCTACTGGTAAGTATTGATTAGTCAATATTGAGAAACAGTATCTGAAAAGTCTTAACAAAGTAATAGCACAGTACTGCACTTAAAATCCGCATACTTATATAAATATCCAAAATGTTAGAGGACATAAAAATAAAACCAAACTTTCCATAATATACAGTAATTTCATAATTTCAGGTTCTGAAACCAAAGTAATAAAGGTCCAATTGCTGGTTTACTATCCCTCTGCTTATTTGACATTTAAGGTAGAATGCCGTAACACTGAAATCAGTTGGGAGACAATTATCTGCTGCCAAATAAACACTGGTAGATCAAAATCAGAGCAAATAAATGATGAATAGAAATGAGGATGATTGTGTAAAAAGCAAAGCCTGCTGTACAAAACATGATATATAACATTAGGGGAATATTTTATTGTAAATGTTCTTTTTTTTAGTTAGTTGTTTATCATACTGGGAATTGAACACAGGACCTTGTGCTTGCCAGGCAGGCACTTGTGCCACTGAGCTATAGCTCCAGCCCTGTAATTATTCTTTTCTTAAATTTCCTCCCCACAGTTCAACTTTCTTCATAGTAGATTTCAACAAATGATGGTATATAATTTCATCCATGAGTCTATGAAGTAAGTTGGTATATTTTCCTTTTTTCCTGAGATTGATTTTTATTGTATCTGAAGAAGCAAAATTAGAAGCTTATCATAACATGCATCAGTACATCATGGAATCAGAAATATCACAAAATAAAACAAGTCCCCAAAGGCATTACTACATGCACTAAAAGCATCAATTTACATAATTAACCCATCCATTGAAGAAATGGTTGCAACAGATGTGAGTCCTGTGAACTTGTAAAAATTAGTGCTCAAAATGCAATAAAAATTGGATTTCTATAGTTCTCAGGGTAGAGATGCTTTGGAACATAAATGAAGACAGATAAAATATATCACTTATTTAACACCACAGGTATAAAACTAAGTTCATAATTTAACCATATTAATGTTTTGACTCAAGCAATTAAGACTTAAAAAAAACCAAAAAGATTAAAATATAGTCAGTGATATATAGTAAAGACATCTATGATTAATAATGGAAAGATCTAATTATGTTCTATAGTTTCAACATTCCCTCTTTCATCAACTTTCCCAAAGCTTTAGACAAATAGCTAAATTGACTAATTTGAGCTTTACTTTCCTCTGACCAATTGTTCTCCAGGGGAAATACCCATAAAATCTGCCATAGTACAAATGTAGAATATGTAACTTACAAAATATTGTGCTTAGTTCATATTCATTAAGTACCTAGCATAGTATGTGGCATACAGCAAACAATAATGGTATTATGCTAATTATTTAACATTAATAGCACCTTTCACTTGCATAGCACCATTTCACAATAACCTCTTAAAGTGTAACTATTCTTCAGAGTTTATGAAATTCACACTGGTTTCTAATACTCTTAGATGTCTTTTTGTGTGTGTGTGTGTGTGTGTGTGTGTGTGTTTGAGACAGGGTCTCGCTATGCAGTTCAGGCTGGCCTTGAGCTCACTTTGTAGCCAAGGCTAGCCTTGAACTCACCATGATCCTCCTGCCTCAGCCTCCCGAGTGCTGGGATTACAGGCATGCACCACCATGCCCAGCTTAATACTCAGATGCCTGTACAGAAAAAAATATAATGACTCATTCAACAAATTTATGGTCTCTGACAGTGGAAATAAAGGATGTCTTTAGAGCAATTGTGTGTACTCTGCTTAAATTCAACTCAAAAAATTAAGTAGCATAAATAAACCTATATTCCGTTATTTTTTTTTTTTGCTACCTAGAATCGAACTCATGACCTCAGGCTTGCTAGGCAAGCACTTATGTCGCTGAGCCATATCCCCGGCCCCTTCATGAAATTTTTAACTCTTACACGAACATGCAGTTTTCATTGTATCCTTAATTACTTCCTCTCAACTTTCTCTTAATAATACAACTATAAGTATATCCCATTATTCTGGAAATTGATTAAAAATCTGTTACCTGTTTGTATCTATGATTAAATATAAAGGCTTTTTTAGTCAGCACACAAAGGACTCCTAGAATAAAGACTAAAACTGTTATTTTTTAAAACCCTGCCTTGTATTTGTAATAGATATAAACAGAATACTGCATATCTTAAGTGGATGAGAGTTCTACTTCACAAGATAACCAAAGAAGATAATTAGCATGACACATGACAGCAGTGAAGTCTTATTTCCGAAATATCCACCACGGATACTTCTGATTTTCCAAGTATTCATCAAGGATACAAAATGTAATCGATATTTTAAAAAACGCAATTATAACACAGAGATCTACAGGGACCTGAAAAAAGACTCATTTTGCTTCGATCCTACAAAAAGGTCTAACTGCTTCATTTCAGTATTCAGGTCCCTTGAAAAGTATCACAGAAGGTGTAATTAAGCTTCTACTGTAAATGATGATGAAATATCATCCAATACTTTCTAAGCTCCTTTTCTTTACCTCTAATTACCACGCAAACTCTTGTTACTAACTTGGCTTCCTAAATAAATTCTTCAATACAAGAAAGAGTACACTGTGACTTTTCAACCTCAAAATTCTGTTCACTGGAAAGGGTTATCTTCTGTTGCAACACAAACGGGCATTTGAATGTGTACATTCTAACGTGCTCAACATTCTTTTGTTTACTCTCCATTGGACGGGGTTCCTGACGTCTGAGCATACAAAAGTAAGAGAACACATCTGAGCTTCTCAGGTGAAGCAAGAGAACCACACACTTTCTCATTGCCAACCGCTATAACCATGTTGGGTTTTACTCCCCAGGCCTCATCCTTTTCCTTAAAACGGGAAAAAGCGGTTTTTACCATTTGTTCGTTACACTGAAATACGCTAGCTAAGCCAAGTTAGGCAGACTTAGTGATATATCAAAGTGAATAACGAAACAATGTAGAATCGAAAACAAAACCTAACCCAAATTTACAGGGCCTCTTGTACACCTAATACGCTCACTTATGATATTCAAACTGTGATGTAACACACAATTTAGAAGTAATTTTTGAACTTGTATCTGCCAGAAACATTATAAAACGGTTTGGCATATATGATTCAAGCACTTAAAGATTTTACAAGTACTTGACAGGCATCCCACCTGGTACAGAGAGGGGCAGGAATATTCGGATTTGAAGTGGACAGAATTGAGATTTCAAATCATAACTCAGACTTTTCTCGTTGGGGCATTCAAAAGTAACTACATTCTTCTTCTTTAAAAAAAAAAAAAAAATCCGTCTTCCACACTCCAAATCGCTCAGCCTCACACAAGGTACTCTAGCTGTTCCCTGAAATCCGCTTACGTTTCATTTATGAGATAGGATGCCCACCAAATGCTCAGTCCGCCTGAAACAATGAGAGCGCTATCAACCCTAAACCCTCAGGGCAGAACTCCCTGGGGGCCGCGATGCCAAGCATTCCCAGCGCCGCTGATGGGCTGTCTCCGCGATCTCTGTTTCCCAGAGACCGAAGGCTGCCGCGCCTGGGGCGGCGGAGGGAGGGCTGGGGCAGTCCCAGGCGGAACTGCTTCAGGAGCCGAGGCTCTGAGAACGCCTGGGGCGAGGCGGGCAGCAACCGAGGAAACAGCCTCAGCTCCGGGTCGTGTGCATTTAAGAGAACGCACAGCGGTGCGGGTACAGAGCAGTGACAGAAAGCCGCAGCCCTCCGCAGCCAGCGGGGCAAGAGAAGTGCGAGAAGAGGGGAGGGCGGGGTAAATACGGTCCCAGAGGTCCAGGAATTGAAAGAGTGCTGCGGGGGGAAGTACCCGCTCTGTGAGCTTGGCCTCGGTGTCGGGGTCACCGGTCCCGACAAGCAGACTGCAGGAGGAAGCACCGCACCTGCTCTGTGCTGAGGAGGATAACGCGTTTCCAACGCGAACGAGCAGTGCAGAAGATGTCGCCTCCCTCCCTGCCCGTTCCTGTCCACTCTTTCTCTCTCACTCTAGCTCCAGGGGCAGTCGGACAAAACCCAGCCAAAGCCTGCGCCGCTGGGGGACAGCAAAAGGAAAATACCTGAGTTCCAGGAATCACACCTGCACCAACAGCAGGAGGAGCGGTGGACAACTGGAGCCCACGCAGGATTCTCACTCGCTCGGATCAAACCTCAACTCTTACGGGTGGGGCGGGGAGCTTCCGCCCGGAGCGCGGAGAGCGTCACTTCCGCCGAACGTCTTCGCCCCGCCTCTCCTCCGCTCCAGTACGTACTAACGTTCAGACTTCCTCTTCCAGGAGCCTCCAGTCCAGGTTTAAACCCCGACGTGGACTACAAGGCCCATCATTCATTTCGGCAGATCGATATCCGGGTCAAGAGGTCTGCGCTGGGTCCATCACCATGGAAGCGATCGGTTTGGTCACGTGGTGCCCCTGGATACGCCCGGTGGCCGCCGTGGGGTCTGGGGCTTAGGCGGGGGCCATTTTGCTAGAGGCTGCCTCCCGCAGTCGGAGGCGGCCTGGCAGCTCGCTCGGGTTGTTTCTTTTCCTCCTCCGCAGCTGGGGGCGTGGAGAGGAACTGGGAGGCTGGGCTTCATCGAACACTTCGGAGGCGGCAATGGTTCCCTCCAGGACCCTGACGACCCTCCATGGCGGCTGCGCCGTCTGCGCTGCGCCCGCTGCCACCCCTTTTAGCCCCGTGTGCCTATCGCCCCCAGAGCCACAGTCGCCCTTCCGCCCCAGAGACTGATGTTCGTCGCGGTGGGGGCACCATGAGAGGAGAGAAAAGCTACTACTGCCGTGGGGTTGCTGGGGACCACGGTTCTTACCCCTCTACGCCTTCGCCTCTGCCTCCGACGCTCCTGTTGCCCGCGGAGACGGTCTCAAGTAGCTGGTCCGGGCCTGGAGGAGGGCTGTCGGGAGGAGAGGAAGAGGAGACCAGGCTCCTGCAGCTCTTGCGCACCGCCCCGGAGCCTTCCGAGGCCTTCCAGGCTTTGCAGGCTGCTTTGCCGAGGCGGGGCGGTCGGCTTGGCTTGCCCCGGCGCAAGGAAGCTTTGTATCGGGCCCTGGGCCGAGTGCTTGTGGAAGGAGGGAGTGATGAGAAGCGCTTGTGCTTGCAGCTTCTCTTGGACGTTCTCCGGGGTCAGGGGGAGGCAGGCCAGCTGGAAGAGGCCTTTAGTTTAGCACTTCTGCCTCAGCTAGTTTTCTCCCTGCGGGAAGAGGATCCGGCCCTGCGGAAAGATGCGCTTCAGATCCTGCATGTATGTCTGAAACGTAGCTCTGGACAGGTGCTGAGAGCGCTTATTCAGCAAGGTCTGGAAAGTACCGACGCCCAGCTCAGAGCTTCCACTGCGCTGCTGCTCCCTGTCTTACTCGCTCCTGAGGATCTGCTGACCGGCCTGGATCTCACCGAAGTGATAATAGTCCTGGCTAGAAAGCTTGGTGACCAGGAGATAGAAGACGAATCGGAGACAGCTTTCTCGGCCCTTCAGCAAATTGGGGAGCGGCTTGGCCAAGAGAGGTTTCACTCCTATATCTCTCGCCTCCCGTCTGCCCTGAGGAGACTCTACAATCGCCGCCTGGAGTCCCAGTTGGGAAGTCAAGTTCCTTATTATTTGGAGCTCGAGGCCTCTGGGTTTCCTGAAGAGCCTGTCCCCTGTACGGCCACTCTTTCCAATAGCAATCTTAAATTTGGGATTATTCCTCAGGAGCTGCATTCCAGATTATTGGATCAGGAAGACTATAAGAACCGGACTCAGGCCGTTGAAGAACTAAAACAGGTGCTGGGGAAATTTAACCCTAGTTCTACCACGCATTCCAGTCTTGTTGGTTTCATTAGCTTGTTGTATAATTTGTTGGACGATTCTAATTTCAAAGTGGTCCATGGCGCGCTGCAGGTTCTGCATTTACTGGTTATTCGCCTTGGAGAGCAGGTGCAGCAGTTCCTGGGACCAGTTATAACAGCTTCTGTCAAAGTGCTGGCAGACAACAAGTTAGTGATCAAACAGGAATATATGAAAATCTTTCTCAAGCTCATGAAAGAAGTAGGTCCTCAACAGGTGCTTTGTTTACTCCTGGAACATCTTAAACATAAGCATTCCAGAGTAAGAGAGGAGGTGGTGAACATTTGCATCTGCTCCCTCCTGACCTATCCCAGTGAGGACTTTGATTTACCCAAACTGTCTTTTGATCTTGCCCCGGCTCTTGTAGATAGCAAACGCAGGGTACGCCAAGCAGCTCTGGAAGCCTTTGCCGTGTTGGCATCGTCGATGGGCTCGGGTAAAACCAACATCCTTTTTAAAGCTGTAGATACTATTGAAATGCAGGATAATGGAGATGGAGTGATGAATGCGGTGCAGGCTAGACTGGCTCGAAAAACTCTACCAAGGCTAACAGAAAAAGGGTTTGTGGAATATGCAATACTCATGCCCTCTTCAGCCCAGAGTCGATCAAGCCATCTGGCGCATGGAGCAGACACAGACTGGCTCCTGGCTGGTAACAGAAATCAGAGTGCGCACTGTCACTGTGGTGAGCCCACGAGGGAGAGCATGCAGATGTACGGATCGTACAGCCCAACGATCTGCACCCGAAGGGTACTAAGTGCAGGGAAAGGGAAAAGCAAATTACCATGGGAAAACGAGCAGCCCGGAGTCACGGACGAAAACCCAGCCTCCAGTTCCAAGGATATAGAGCAGGTATGCATCTTCTCTAATTTTCTTGAGTTGAAACGTTTGAAAAAATTTTAGAGAAGGAGGCTGCTTTAGCGTTGTCAGTGTTTGTTTTAGTTAATTGATTTATGTTTTGACTTTTTAAATTTTATTTATTTATTTAGTCTTTTTTTTTTGAGACAGGGTCTCGCTATGCAGCAGGCTGGCCTTGAACTCACTTTGTAGCCCAGGCTGGTCCGGAAGTTGCAACGATCCTCCTGCCTCAGCCTCCTGAGTGCTGGGATTACAGACATGTGCCGCCACCCCCAGCGGTTTGTTTTATGATGATGTGCCTGTTCTAGTAGATGTGCCTATTGTAGTAGAGGTCTCATAAGACCATTTAATACTTGATTGGTTTCAGGCACAGTGTGATTTGGATAATACTTGATTTCAGTTTTGGCATACTACTTTGGAATGTCATTCATAGAACAAACACTGAATAGCTAGCACCTGCCAGACAAAGAATAAAGTTCTAGGAATGAAGAGAAAAGCAGTTCCACCGTTCAAATAAAAGTTCAAAGTTACGACTTGGCAGTTAAGAAATATCTAGAGTTCTAAAATACAAATATAAACAGTACTGTGAGGATACAGAAGATAAAAAAAATAATCCTACTGGAAAAATCGAAAACGCCTTCAGAGAATATGTGACACTTGAGTGGGATTCCCCCCAAACTTTTACTGTAAAAGTTCCAAATCTGCAGGCGCAATGCGTACCCATATACTTTCACCTATATTTACCAGTTAACATCTTGCTGAACCGTTGGAGAGTTACACACATTTTGACATTGAACTCCTAAATATTTTGGCATGTGTCTCTTAAGAACAACCTTCTCTTCAGGACCATCATATCGTGGTCATGCTTCAGAATTTTAATAGTAATTCAGTAATATCTAATAGATAGTTGTATTTAAATTGCTCTATTTGTCCCCAAAGTGTGCTTTATGTTTTTTGTTTTACTTTTATTATCCAGGATGCAGTCATGGGTCATGTTTAATATATCTTTTTTAATCTGCCTTGTGTCTGCCTGTACTTGCTTATGGTGCTTTAGTTTTTCATGATTTTGACCTTTTTTTCAAGAGTCTAGGGTAGGTATTTTGTAGAATGTCTTCCATTTTAAGTTTATCTAATTATTTCCTATGAAATGCAAATAGCATTTTTAGCAAGTACGTAGAAGATAATGTAATGTTAACTTCACAGTACATCACATCACAGATAGTATCAGATTGTCCCACTGCTAGTGATGCTTAATGTATCATTTGATTAAGGTGGTGATAGCCAGATCCCTTGTGAAGACATTTTCCTCTTCATCTTTAGCACACAATCTGCAGGATCATACTTTGAGAACCTTCCACAAAAACCTTGCACTCACTGTTTTTGCCATCCACTAAGGATTCTAATCTTTATCGTTTATTACATGGAGGATACAAAAAAGGTAAAGAAAATCAAATGTTTTTCTGTATTTGTAGTTTTTTTTTTTTTTTTTTTTTTTTTTTGAGACAAGGTCTCGCTAAGCAGTTCAGGCTGGCCTTGAGCTCACTTTGTAGCCCAGGCTGGCCTCGAACTCACAGTGATCCTCCTGCCTCAGCATCCTGAGTGCTGGGATTACGGGCATGCGCCACCACGCCTGGCAAAATGTTTTTTCTGTATTTGTTACCTGGAATTCTTTTATCTCCTATGTGTAGTAATCATGTATTTCTTAATTTTTTGATACTAAAAAGTATTTAGCTTTGTCGATGCTAAAATTGCTTCATGTTCTTCTGCAATGCCTTTTTATTTACCAGTAGTCGTGGCACTTCCTTAAAGTCTAACATACCACACAGGCTTACCTTGTATTTTTCTTACTTCAGACCTGGAATCAGCTGTTTTTCTCCAGTCTAATTCTGCCTTTGTAGTAGAAGGTGGTATTTAAAGACCAAAGTGTGGCTACAGATTTGCTTATTGATGTTTCTTACCCTTGCTCTCTCAGGAACAGAGCCAAGGAGTGCAACTCCACACCCCCCACATCCAATTCAAGTCCAGTAGTGCAAGGTCCTTCCTTATTTTCCTTCATTCTATGTTCTCGTCTCCCTTTTCCCCACTATAAAACCTTAGTTCTCAAAATAACCATACATATTGTATGCTGTGTTCTACAGTACACAAAAAAATTACTTTTGTATGGTGTATTCTACAGTACACAAAAAAGTTACTTTTTTGTACTTAGAATTACCCCACATAGTTGTGTGTTCATACTTTCTTTTCTCTGTGTGATTATGATTCAAATGATGTGATGAAAGGTAAATAACAGTTGTTTACTAAGTGTGGATGGGTGTTGATGAATTTCAGACTGAAGAAGTAGCATGGATGCCAATTTATGTTTCTTTGTTGTTGTTGTTTTTGTCTTTTTGAGACAGGGTCTCGCTGTGCAGCTCAGGCTGGCCTTGAACACACTGTGTAGCCCAGGCTGGTCTCGAACTTATGAAGATCCTCCTACCTCAGCCTCTCGAGTGCTGGGATTATAGGCTTGCACCACCACACCGGCTTCTATGGACACCAGTTTATAAAAGGGCTTAGCAAATTAATAAGAGAACGGGAACTTTTTTGCACAGCTGACACAGAGGGTCTAGTGGTATGGAGCTGAAAGTTGACACTGGAAATATGGGCAGGAATAAAATATAAAAATTGGGCTGGGGGTTTAGCTCAGCGGCACAGCATCTGCCTGGCAAGCGCAAGGTCATGAGTTTCATTCCCAGTACCAGAAAAAAAGCAAAAGAAAAAAACAAACAAAACAAAAATTATGTTTTATTGGTTTACATCCCAATAAACCCATTGTAAGTTGAAAATATCATAAGTGAAAAACATGTAAAACACCTGACCTATTGACCCTCATAGTTTAGCAGCCCAGTCCACCATATAGAAAATGGGCTTTTTACCCTCCTGATCCTGTGGCTGATTGAGAGTGGCAGCCCACTACCTACTCAGCATTGCGAGAATATAGTACTCTATAGTGCTAGGCCAGGAGAAGATCAAAAAGTATAGTTTCTACTAAATGTATATTGTTTTTGCACCATGAAAAAGTAAAAAAAAAGTCCTAAACCGCAGGCTGCACATAATGAACTCGGACTTTTTGCAGTAGATCTCACACAGATGGACGGGACCTAAGTGTTCTCAGTGGTTCCTTTCAATGCCAAAATTTGCAGAGTTTTAAAAATATTTTTTTCAGGACCAGGGATATAGCTCAGTGGCACAGGGGCCTGCCTGGCAAGTGCAAGATCCTGAGTTCGATACCTGGTACCTCCCCCTAAAAAAAAAAATAATAAATAAAAACATGTTTTTCAGATTTATATAATCTGGTTATATGATTATTCTTACATATCATAAATATTACCTGGCAGAAGGTGATTTTCTGTGAGCATTGATTTTAAGATGCTTATTATATGTTAGGTCTAAGT